TCTGCTTCGCGCTCTCTCTCTCGCTCTCTCTCTCTCTCTATCTTTCTCTCTCGCTCTCTCTCTCTCTCTATCTTTCTCTCTCTCTATCTCTCTCTCTCTCTCTCTCTATCGCTTATCTCTTTCCCCCTCTCTCTCGCTACACGGGGAACCGTGAGCATTGCACGCACACATATATAGCCCACGCTACACGGGGAACCGTACTGCTAATATAACACGCGTGCACATCGCACGCACACACATATACCGTACATGCATGTATCATCATTCATCATACGCACCGAGATGCTCCATCATCTTGTCAAAGTTCTCCGACGAGGTCATCTTCCATTTTCCACAGAAGTCGGCGGGCGCCATTACGCTGTGTATATAGTTATATAGTGCGCGAACGAGGACGGGGTGGAAACTACGGGACTACGGGGCTGAACTAGCGGCAGTGCAGTACGTCGTCCGCGCAGCGGCCCTTATAAACGCCGACGTTTTTATTTTCCCATTCGTCCCGTAGATCACATGTCCGGCTGCGGATAGGAGCAGACGCAGGGTCACGGCGCATGCGCAGTGTGTGGGTCCCGGCCGTCACTTTCTCGTGACATCAAATTAATCGTGCTAGGTATATCAGTGCATGTCTATGTCTATAGATAGATTTATCTATATTCATAAATATTAGGCGCGTTCACACTGGCGCGAATTAGCGGGCTGCAAAACCCGGTTTTTGTAGCTCACTAGAAAAACTGAGCGTTTTACAAGTGTGAACGCAATTAGCTTACTAAATCGCGCTCCAAAAAGCCCGCCTCCTAAGACCACTTTCGACTAGGCTGTTTGGAATCAGCTCACTTATTTGCCACCGCGCGCGTGATATTTGCACGGCGGCGATTTAGCGAGCTATATTCGCCTGTGTGAACAACGACACAATCAGCTCACTATTAGCTCCGATATTAGTGAGCTGAGCAGCGCGGTTTTTCTTGTGTGTGAACGCGCCTATGTCTTTGCGCCTGTATTGATTTGTACTATCTACGCGGGAGTCGGGATTTAGATTCAAGATTTAAAAACGGTTTAGTGCAACACACACACACACATCACGAGCGGGCCCGCGCACGCACGCACGCACACGCACGCACGCACACACGCACGCACGCACGCACGGACGTACGCGTACACACACACATCCACGAGCTGGCCCGCGCACGCACGCACGCACACGCACGCACGCACGCACACGCACGCCCACGCACGCACACGCACGCACACGTACACACACGCACGCACGTACCACACACACACACACGCGCGCGCGCGCGTGCACGCACACGCACACGCACACGCACACGCACACGCACACGCACACGCACACGCCACACGCACACGCACACGCACAGCACGCACACGCACACGCACACGCTCACGCACACGAACACGCACACGCACACGCAACAACGCCAACACGCACACACAGACACGCTATCTATACACACAGGCGTATTACGCATGATGTGTTCCCAGTATGGGTTTTAATATACTAAGATAGCGTAAAAGAATAAAAGAAATGCTATCGTAAGAAAACGCCCAGTCATCACTGCAGTGTTTGTTATAAGATCTGTCTTCACCAACACAGTCCAACCTGTTTATAACTATACATCAATTAACAAGACACTGTGAATTCACAAAAGCAACATAGGAAATTATAAATTATGAATGTTTATAAAATATAAATACTTAGCGTAAGATGCTACTAGAACAACGGATAATCACGTTTTAGGTACAAGAGAATGCGCGCGGAAAGCACCTGTTCGAAAGGTGTTTGCTCAAATCAGAATCCACGATCACTGTGTCTGCATGATGTATAGACTTCCCGTGATAATTTCAGGAGTGAATAATAGAGATTATTCATCCTATTATTCCTTCATTAAATCTATATTATTCATCCTGATAATATTTGATCTTGGGGTGTTTACGATGTATTATCTAGGCTTGGTTTTTCACCTATACAGCTTATAAGTAATACGTTTGTATAAGCCATTTGAATGAGAACTCTTCATAAACTTCCATAATGTGATTGAAGCTTGATATAAACTGTGCGTTATTGAAGCTTGTATTTCGGCGTGTGATGCTGTGTGTGCGTGTCTTCGTATGCGTGCGTGTGTGTGCGCGTGCCGTGCGTGCATGTGCGTGTAAGTCTGCGTGGCAGGAATATAAATATGTATATGTAGATAAATTTTCGACGTATATATGCGTTAGATTAGATATATAATAATGAAAAATTACACCAGGCCTCCCTCTATCATATTACTGGGACAGTTAAAGGTCGTAATATATCGTGATATATGATCAGGAGTCTATTCAATATGATAGACTCCTGATATGATGTTACCAGTCTGGAGCGTATCTGTGCCAGCGCGTAATGTAGTATTGTGAGATAAATAACATAACTGATTATGTTAGACTGTTACTGTTAGGGAGAGTCAGCGGTTTATAATGTTTCTATAATTAAGTCACATTTAGACTTTCCTGTATAAGTGGAAACCTCACATGAGTGTGTGCTATAATATATAGATACATATATATATATATATATATATATATATATATATATATATATATATATATATATATATATTATTGTGTGTGTGTGTGTGTGTGTGTGTGTTTGTGTGTGTGTGTGTGTGTGTGTGTGTGTGGTGTACGTGTGCGTGTATGTGCGCGCGGCGCGAGCACGACGCGTGTGTGTGTGTGGTGTGTGCGCGCCTGTGCGTGCGTGCGTGCGTGCGCGTGTCCGTGTGTGTGTGTATGCGGTGTGTGTGTGTATGTGTGTGTGTGTGTGTGTGTGTGTGTGCGCGTGTGTGTGTGTATGCGCGCGCGAGCGTGTGTGTGTGTGCGTGTGTGTATGTGTGTAATCCCCACAATGTTTTGGGTGTTGGTAGAGTCACACATTCATGGTCTTGCTCGTGTCATATGTAACCCAATATAGTAGTAGCCCTATAGGGATTACATCACATCCTCTCCACTTCCCTTACCCCGACCCCCCCCCCCCCCTCCGGCTTCTCTCGCCCTCTCTCACATTCAAGCCTCGGCTCCTTGCCTGCCCTACCCTTTCTCCTGCTCTCGGCAAGTTTTCTAGCCTCACTCCACGAGCTGTTCTTCAACGCGCGCGAGAATGCGTCTGCATATAAATTCGAACACGCATTCAAATCTCTCTGCGGGTGGAAACAGCGTGCGTGCACACGTTATGTTAGGACTAATGATGGCAGCGCGCCCCTCAGGCAGCGTGTGATGTGTCTTTGGTTGCTACATACCATAATTGCTCTGTACCTTGGCATGTTATTCTTCCTACCGATGCAAGAGGCTATAATAGCACGCGCTGCAAGTATAGCGATCATTGTTAAAGCGATATTGTAGTTCGCTATCGCAAAGCGCTCGGCCCGCTTTTTTTGCCGTCGCATAATTGTTTTAGTCAGCACATTTACGCCGCTGAAAAAAATGCACTCACGAATCATTTATGTATTTTTAACATTACTATTCCCAGGGCATTCGCGGTGGTGGGGTGGCGTTGGTGCTTTAGGAACATGAGAACTAGCCCTAACTGCACGTTAATCGCACAAATAAACAGAGTTCAATGAAAATTTTAAACGTCGTTCAATTTCGAGTTCTGAACCATTATTTATTCTTTACAACTTGTCTCGTTATTCTTTTCTTCTAACATCACAAGTAACATTGCCGGTCATTTTCTATTTCTGGCAGAAATTGCATGGTGCTAATGTTATCGCCGGATCAAATCTAGGAACACGTTCGTACGCATAATTAGTTTATATATTCTCTTAACGGATGATCGACACGACCAGATAGCTAGCGTCTGAGAAAAACGCGACACACTTAATTGCTACTATCAAACGTACAAAATATAACTTTCTATTTTGATTGTATCGAATGATGGTATTAATCCAGACACAATCAAGTTCGACTGCACCAAGTTTTTCGGTGTCGATTTGACTGTCAATCACTTCTTTCAACACGCTGCCATACAAATGAAATTAAGCGTTCCTGTAGTGTAACCTATAGTCCGTTTAAAGTTTGTCGGGCAGAGTCGCAATCATTTAAAAATGTAAATTTCATTCAAAGAGCTAATAGGCGACACATGTCCTGGAAATGCACCAGCATTTAATTACTCTATTCGTACAGGGGTTGTATTTCTCCGCCTCCCTCCCCTCTCCTCCACCTCCCTTTCCTGTCCTCCTATCTCCCTCCCTCAACACCCCAGGATCCTTTATATTTTGCATTTTATTTTTTGAATGTCAATGCACTTAGTTTCTCTGACAGTTTGCGTAAAAATTCCCGTACAATGTATTTTCTCATGTATATATTTCTCGTGCTATGGATTTCTTTTATTTTTCTCTACTTGGTATACTCTCTCTTTTCTCTCTCTCTCTCTCTCTCTCTCTCTCTCTCTCTCTCTTTCAAGTTTCACGCTACAACATAGTATAATAGTTTGTTTTGTATGAAAATCCTCCCGCCCACTGGCCTCCCTACTCCCGCTCCTTCCCTCCCGCTCCCCGCCCTCTTTTCTCCCGTCTCCTCGCCCCAGGCGCGTAGCCAGGGGGCGGCGGTGGGGGGCGGTCGCCCCCCCCAAAACGGGCTCTCAAATATTTGGGCCCAAAAAATGGCCTTAAATATTTTCAAATTCATGTTAGTATTGCATGTATTAAATGTATGTAGTCGTGTGTGTGTGCTGTGTGTGTGTGTGCTCGTGGTGTGGTGGTCGTGTGTGTTGTGTGGTGATGTGTGTGTGGTTGTGTGTGTTCGTGTGGAGCTGTGGTGTGTGTGCCTGATGTGTGCTGTTGTGTGTGTGTGTATGCGTGTGCGGTGTGTGTGTGTATATTGCGTGTGTGTGTGTGTGCTGGCTCACGTGTGCTGGGCTGTGTCGCTGTGTGTGTGTTGTGTGTGTGCTGAGGAGGCGTGTTGTGTGTGTGTGTGTGTGTTAGTGTGTGTGCTGTGTGTGGTGCAGGGTCGCGCTGACCAGGGAGGGTGGGTCGAGGCGCCGGTCCGGCACCCCCCCTTTTTACCACAAAAAAAGGAAAAAATCTACACACACACGCACGCCCGCGCGTGCGCGCCACGCACGCACGCACGCACACACACACACAGACACACACACACCACACACACACACACAGCACACACACACGGGCATTGCACGCACGCCACGCACGCACGCCAACGCACGCACGCACGCACGCACATCACACACACACACACTTCCTCTTAATATTGTCTCCATTAAAAAAATCTTGTTTTAGCGCCCTAGTTTTCTGATAAAGATTTACTTATATATATGTAAATTTCGTTATAAAAACTTATAGAAATGGCAAAGAGGTGTCCGCAGCTCCGGTGTCCGGCGGGCGACCGGATCTGATAAATTTTTGCATTCTAGACATTCAAAATTCTGGCTCAGATGCTCTCAGAATTGCACCAATTTTTTAATAAAAAATCTTTGCCGGGATGGGCCCCAAACCCCACCAAAAGTGCCTTCGCGAGCTTTAAAAGCACCAGAACAAATGTATAGCCCAAACAAAAAGTGCCCTTTCATTACTTCCTGGACACCCCTTTTCAAAAATTCTGGATTCCGCCCCTGCTGTGGTGGTGTGTGTATGTATGTTCCGTGCTGTGCGCGATCGCGCGCGGGGCGTAGGCTTCAGTGTGTAAATTATTGTGTGGGCTTACGCTCGCTGCTAGTATGTGATGCGCTATCGCCGATCATCCCCCCCCCACCTCCTCGGTTACGGATTTTACGCCCCTGGTGTGTGTGTGTGTGTGTAGCTGTGTGTGTGGTCGTGTGTGTGCGTGGTCGCGTGTCCCGACCCGAGCGTGCGTGCGTGTGTTTTGTGTGTGGTGTTGTGTGTATGTGTGGTGCTGTGTGCTGTGCTGTGTGTGTGTTGTGTCGTGTGTGTCGTTGCGTGCCGTGCGTGCGTTGGCCGTGCGTGCGCGCGATCGCGCGCCGTCGTGGTGCTAAATTATTGTGGGCCTCTGTGCTCGTGCTAGTATGTTGATGGCTATCGCGCATTCATCCCCCCCCCCTCCTCGGTACGCGATTTTACGCCCCTGGGGCCGGATTTCCCATTCAAACGTTGCTTAAATAGTCGATTGCCGCCTACGCAAAGCGTTTCTACGAAGTACGTACGCCAAAAGCCCGTTAGGTGCGATGTCATCAACGCCATCGTAGGTCCTACGTACGCGCAAAATGGTTGAGAATCGCAGTGTAAAGCCCACTACGCCATCCTAGCTAGCTGCTTGTGCGAGGGGTGTGCCTAGCATAAACAATCAACACTGTGCGCGTAGGAACCGAAGAACGCCTCTCTTTGTAATTTAAACCATAATGCGTCGTCTAGTCCGTCCTCGTCTGTCTACATGATGTGCTGGGATGTAGATTAGTGTCCCATTTTCGTTGTATGATTTGCGTTTACACTCATGAAAGCAGGCACCACGTACACGTGCGTGCCGTGCGTGTGTACGTACACGTTGCGTGCGTGCGTCACGTACACGTGGTGCGTGCGGACGTGCATGTGCACGTGTGCGTTTGTGTGTGTGTGACAGGTACACGTGCCGTGAGTGCGTGTGTACGTAACACAGGCGTCCGTGCGTCGTGTACTACCACGTGTCGCGTGCTCGTTGCTACGTTACACGTGCGTGCTGTGATCGCTGTGTACGTACACGTACGTGCGTGCGCGTGTGACGTACACGTGCGTTGCTTGTGCGTATCGCCGTGTGAGCGTGCGTGCATTCGTGCACAGCTACACACGCTGCGTGCGTGAGCGTGTGCACGTACACGTCGTGCGTTGCATGTGTGTGCACGTAAACGTGCGTCCGTCGCGGGTGCAGACTGTACTACACGTGCGTGCTTTGCCACGTACACGCGACGCGCGCGATGGTGCCGTGCTCATCGTTACACGGGCGCTGCTTGTGCGTGCATGTGCACGTGCGTGCGGTGGTGTGTGCCACGTACACTACGTGGCGTGCGTGTGCACCCCTAACACGTGGCGTGCGTGTGGCGTGCTGTACGTTACGACGGGCGTGCGTACGTGGTGCCACGCTACACGTGCGACTGCGATGCGTCGCGTTCGTGTGCGTACGTACACGGCTGGCGTGCGTGCGTGAGTGTGTGCGTGCTGTCACGTACACGCTGCGTACGTGCGTGTGTGTATCATACATCGTAGCGTGCGTGGCGTGCCGGGTTGTGCACGCTACACGTGTGTTGCTGCGGTGCATCGTGCACCGTGCGCGTCGTGCTGCACAGTATAAACGTGCTGTGCGTGCGTGCGTGCTGTACGTACATGGGCGCGCGTGGCGTGGCGTGCGTGCGTGCGTGCATGTGCACGTGCGTGCGTGTGTGTGTCACGTACACGTACGTGCGTGTGCACGCTACACAGTGCGCTGCGTGCGTGTGTACGCTACACGGCGTTGCGTGCGTTGTGGCATGTGTGCGATGCGTGTGGCACGTACACGTGCGTACGTGTGCACGTTACAAGTGCGTGCGTGTGGACGTACACGTGCGTGCTGGTACACGTACACGGCTAACTAACGAAACTCGCTTATAACGAAAACAATGCCAAGCTTATGACAAAAGAAGGGCGTCAAAGGCGCCGCCTGTCTGTGTAGTATAGGTACATTATTTTATTTATTTTTTCTAGTTAAGTAGTAATTGTATAATGTTTTCGTCAATAAAATAATGCTGCCTGCCGGTATGCTGCCCGAAACACCATGCGGAAATTCGAGTGGTTGTACGCACCTGTCAGCTCGTGTTAAGAGTTACGGCAAGGTTTTTAGGCGTAAATTTAGCTTGAAGAATCGCACCTAAAACGGCCCTCGCGCTTGCGTACGCCGAATCGTACGCAAAGTTACTAAATACTGTGTTGATGAATCGCAACTAGGCAACGTCGATGCGTACACAAGATTTACGCAAAATATTTGCGTACGCAGCTTGATGAATCTACCCCCTGAAATTCGCCACACATTCACTTGCTCATGCATTGCCGCCCCCCCCAAATAAAATGCTGGGTACGGCCGGGCCTGCGCCGCCCCTGCATGCTAGCTCCACTGTCTCCCGTCCCCCTTCTCTTGTACCTCCGCCCCCGCCCCTGTACCCCTCCCTCCATTAGTAAAACCGGAAAGCATTTGTGGCGCCTCTTGTTCCTTTCCAACGAGCATAACGTCACTGGTTGCCATTGTTACCGGTGACACTTCGCGCGTCAGCAGTGCCGTTCTTTTTACTGCTTTAGTGCTTATTACCTTATTCAAATTCAATTTTACTACTGCATGATAATATTAAGAAAGTGACAAACCGTGGCGTTGCTTCCAAATCGAAGTAATTTTAAAGAGTTTTTGAAGGATCCCAGCGTGGCACAAATAACTATTCAGTAATACACTCCACCACGCTCGTCAGGTGCCGCGATGTGGTTCTGTGAGCGTTGTTGACTTGTTGGTGAGAGAAACTAGTAGCCTACTAGTAGTAGTACTTGCTAGTAGGCATATTAATTTAGGTCTACCAACCATTAACCATGGCAAATGAGATAGTTGGCGAGCAAGATGGAGAACACATTACTGAACCACCTTATGCAATATTGTTCTTGTTTGGGTGCTGTTCGCTTGGAGGCAAGTATTGACACAATGAAAATTGTGCTTTCATTGAATTGGCAAAATGGAAATTGTTGCAACAAGTACAATTAAGTAGGCCTACAAATGCAACGTGTGTTGCAAAAGAATAGTTTGATTTCCTAATAATAGTACTATATCAAATATCAATAGAATGTGAGGACATTTTCTTGTTTGGGTGCTGTTCGCTTGGAGGGAAGTATTGACACAATGAAAATTGTGTTTTCATTGAATTGGCAAAGTGAAAAAATTTCATTGAATTGGCACAATGAAAATTGTTGCAACAAGTACAAATGCAATGTGTGTTGCAACAGAATAATTTGATTTCCTACCCTACTATCAAATATCAATTGAATGTGAGGACATTTTCTTTTTTGCATCAATCATTGAATGGGTGTTTATCTTCTTTTTTAGCACTGGTACGAACACTTCTAAAAGTATGGTCTGCACATTTCCCGAAGTTGCCACTGCCATACACAGTAGCACTGTTGATACTTGGTTCATTCATGGGCCTAATATCAAAACAGTATGAATCAGTTGGGAACTACACTAAGATGGCACAGATGGATCCACAAATTATCCTACATATTTTCTTACCAGTGTTGATATTTGAGTCGGCATTTGCAATGGAAGCACATACATTTTTCAGATCCTTTATGCAGATTGTCACTCTAGCTCTTCCAGGCTTACGTAAGTATATATATTAGCACGGTGGTCATGATTCCAAAAGCGAGTCACTGAATGCCATTAATCTTAGTTGCTAAAAAAGATGCCTAAAGTATCTTTCATAGATGCATTGTGGCCACAGCATTTGGATCTGTGCTAGTCTAATGATCACTGTTTAATCAAGTTGCAATCAAAATGGTTAAGAAACACTGAAGAATATGATGTTCCTATAGATCTATGTCATTTTCAAAAACAGGGAAATATGTGATAATTGCAAAGAGGTAGTATGCAGTTGAAAAGTGGAACAGAAATACAATAAAGATCATTATCTGTACCTGGTAGTTGTACTTAATTTGTGTTTACGTGTGTTTCAGTTGTGGCATCCTTTCTGACTGCAATAATGGCAATGAATGTTTTTGACTATGGATGGAGCTTTGAGGTATCACTGTTATTTGGAAGCATAGTGAGTGCAACAGATCCTGTTGCCGTGGTTTCACTTCTCAAAGACCTAGGTACGTGTTGGCATTTTGGTCAATATCCTGTGTAACAATCCTTCTCAGAATTGCCTAGGACTCCAGCTGTCATTATATTTCGCCACACCATCACACGCATCCACACGGCTAAGATTTGAAATAAGCTCCCATATATAAACGTCCCTAAACTGAATTCTGTATTTTATCTGCCCTATAGGAGCATCCAAACAACTTGCAACAACCATCGAAGGTGAATCGCTGTTGAATGATGGTGCTGCGATCGTCATGTTTAACGTGCTTCTGGAAATGGCAGACCCAATGAAACCCACGATGGGTGCCGGTGACATTGTTCTCAAATTTGTGCGCATCGCCATTGGCGGACCCGTCTTTGGATTCATCATGTCGAAGATCACCATCTTCTGGCTGTCGAACATCTTCAACGACGCGATCACGGAGATCACAATCACTCTGGCTGCCACATACGTCACTTTCTACGTGGGAGAGGCTGTGCTGGAGGTGTCAGGTGACTGATTAATCTTTACGGTTTTCTTACTGATTTGCAGTTTTAGCAAATTCACCTGTCTGTCTAAGCGTAGTAACTGTGCAACCTTGGATACTGTAACTGGAATAACTGGTAATATTCGACCAGTTTGTACATGTTTCCATGCATGGGGCAAAAATGTCGTATTTGCAACACTTCCTTGCCAATCAGTGTTTTTCAAAATGAACTATCTTGTCCAGAGCTGTCAGTAAAACACGTCAGACGGATAGGTCAGTTGGGTGTCATGTTACTTATGCGTTCCTCTTGTATATGAAGGCATGACAAGGTTGCATCTGCTTCTGCATGTTACTGGACCAAATCAAAGGCTGCATGAGTCATGCTATCCTCGTTTTGCATAAATCTAAGACTGTCTGTTCTGTCTGTTTCAGGTGTGTTGGCAGTGGTTGTGCTTGGTATCACACTAAGTGCAGAACGAACAGTGATTAGTCCTGAGGTTGAAGGCTCCTTGCACAGGTAAAGTGGTAGTCATTATATTGTTACATACTTGTGTAGTATAGGGGGGAGAAAAAAACACATCACTCAAGAGAAGCTGCAAAAGACTTCTTTATAGATGTGATCAATCTATAATAGTGGTTTCACCTTATAAATGATACTAAAGAAAAGCATCAAAATTATTCTTGGTAGCCAAGCATATTCTATACAGGTGAACACTAACATAGATTTAAGTGCAGTTGCATTCCTGTTCATTGCTCCAGCTGATGTCACCATGTATGTGAGTTGTAATGCATTTGCTGCAAAGCTGAATACCTGCACCATCATGTACGTACATCCACAACTTCACAAGCATCTGTTCACGTATACATGCAGGTTCTGGGAGATGCTCGCTTATCTTGCTAATACACTGATCTTCATTCTGGTTGGAGTTGTCATCACCGAGCAAGCAATGAATGACATTAACGAGAAAGACTGGTTCTACATGCTAGTCCTCTACTTCGGTGTCAACATCATACGGTAAGTCTGATCCACTAGGCCTATCTTGCAACTCAAGGATGCCTGTACTGATACAGGGTTGGTCTCTTTCGTATTCTTCCACCTATGCTACGTAGCGGTACTATGCTGTTTTTCTCACGAATTTCGAATGGATGAGCAATATCTTTTGGTTTTAATCTCACGCTTCCATTGACCTCGTTTTCTCAGTGGCATCACCATAACGCTGTTCAGTCCTGTGCTGAAGCACATGGGCTATGGTCTGACATGGCGTGATGCCACCGTCATGACGTGGGGTGGCCTGAGAGGAGCCGTTTGCGTCGCCCTCTCGCTTCTCGTCTACCGCACGGACGGAGTAGCAGAAGCCGGAAAGAAGGTGCGTCTCCTCCCCAAATTCAGAGAGCACCGAACACGAGCAGTCTGAACAGTTTGTTTTTCTAGCTTTGCAACTGTCACTACTAATGTTATATGCGTCAGAGAATAACGCGACGATGGGTTTTTTTGGTTTTTGACTTCAAGAAAATGATTTGTTGTCCTTTTTCTCTGTCTGATCTACCGTCCGGCATCTTCTGTGCCTCCCGACCAGATGGTCATCCATGTCGCTGCGATCGTGGTGCTTAGTCTGGGGATAAATGCCACGACGATCGCCTCAGTCTTGGACTTACTTGGTGAGTAACGGCTGTTGCGGATCCAGTCCCTCAGCACACCGTGAGCAGATTCAGATGTAATTGAATGGAGCCGAAGTACAGTGCTGTTAGTATTTGAAACAGGGTGCATTTCTACTGGTAGCAATTAGTGTATATATGCATAATGCATCTTACTAATGCTTTAACTTAATATATTTCTCCCTCGCTCTTTCTTTTCTATCTCTCTTTCTCTCTCTCTCCCTCACTTGCTTTCTCTCTCTCTCTCTCTCTCTTTCTCTATCTCTTTCTCTATCTCTCTCTCTTGCCCTCCCCCTCCCCTTCCCTCCTCTTATGGTCTATCTCCATCTCTACCTCCCTATGCAGGAATGACGGACATCTCACCAGCTAAGCGCATGGCGATGGCTAACGTCGTACGCCACCTGAAGGAGACCAAGCATCGAGCGCTCAATGTGCTCAAGATTGACCGATTCCTCGCTGATTCTGACTGGGCTGTGGTGGAGAATAGCACCCTGGTGACCGACCCCTACCATACACATGAAGAGCAGGTACATGCGCTTCTCCTACTCGTATGTATACACCCATTGTCTAGAGGCAAACTGTAAATGCTGGAGAGAAGGTGTAAGGGAAGTGATGGAAGTCAAGTGTATTCATTCAGGCAGAGCTTGAAGGGTCATACTATAACCTAAAGTTATTGCGCCAGCAGTAAACTATTAATGGGTGTATATCTTGTTTCCACTTGATCTTTCACCACCATGTTGCATCAGTCGTTGCCGACAGGAGTTAAAATATCGACTAATTCCTGTGGTAGTAAATTGTCCATTATTGTTCATCCTCAGCTTAACATTGAGGAGAATTTTGAGTACAAACCGCAAAGCAGATGCCCAGAGTGCAGACACGTTTTCCCAACAGAGCCAACGCCTACTGAGTACAGAGACATGTACAATGAGGCTACACTGCGCAAGTTGAAAGCACACAAGGTTTGACGTACATGTGTCCTGTATATTGCCACACTAGGGTGTAGTACCAGTATTTCACATATCCCAGAATGCGATAGAGCGTCAAGCAATGACTCGTGATTTCAAAAGCCAACTGGAGTTTGGTAAACGCGTTTGACCGCTGATGAAAATGCTCAGAGAAGAGTTGAAGAAGGGTCCACGTTATGCGTGACGAGTGCCAATGATGCATGTTGGCAGGTGAGTTACTGGAGGCAGTTTGAGCATGGGATACTGTCGTCGGATTCTGTGCGCGTCCTGGTCGGATACGTGGAGAGCTCCATGGACCTGGCGGGATCGTGAGTAGCTCCCTTCGCCAACTCTCTCAAATTTCCCTCGTTTAGCAAAGTTGTTTTACGCCGATGCGGAGTTACAGAGACGTGGGTTCGTCGGCGATTTTCTCACATCATTTTGGTTTGTAGGTGGTATAGTGATTTCACTGTCAATGTGCGAATTAGCGTAAAATGTTTACATCTTGCAGGTTTATCAACTTGGAAGAAGTCAAGAAGAACTGGCAAATCACAGGAATCTATCCATTCCTGGTATGTAAACAGCAAATAAACACAATATATACTGGTTCATATGTTTGCACACGTTATCTAAGTGTAAGCTGTAGGCTGTGAATTAACAGCAAACATGTAGTGGCATAATATAAATCAGTGTATTTGTTCAGATAGAAGCTGAAAGGGTTATGTTCGAATTGAAGTAAGTGTACTGTAAAACAGTATCTTGTTTTCACTTGTGTGCTTGCAGAAACGAAAGCTGGAATCAGTGATTTACGGCAAAAGTCGCGACAGAACATTCTGTCCAAGGTCAAAGTGGCGAGCAATAGTCTACAAAATCACAGTAAATAGCTATTTTGAAGCCTTCATTTATAGGTGAGTAATACATATATCGACTGTGTGGCAGGCCCCACATTTCGAGTTCCGGTAACAGAAAATGAGTAAGGAACATATTCTATCTTTTCTCATACACCTTCTATATAGTCATATACCTTATATACTCGGCGAAATTGTTCGTTTTGCATGCATTCCCAGGTTATTCCCCCGTGCGGGGGGGGGGGTCCCGACAACTATCAGGAGTGCGTCATAACGTGATCGCGTGTTGTAACGTGACCGCGCAACTAAAGCTCGGTTTACACTACCGACTTTATGTTGTCAAATTGGCGAGTTGGACCAATTTCGCAATTCGCCAACACCGAGTTGGCAAAAATAGAACATGTTCTAATCTCCCAACTAGTTGCTATCGACAAGTTGCTAGCGCGACTTTTGCGTTTACACTGCCGATTGTCGGTTGTATAGTTGGGAAGTTGGTCCAATTCACCAATCTTGACGTTTTGTCTGCATAAAGTCGGTAGTGTAAACCCAGCTTAACCCGACCGTTCCCCCTGCAGCGTCATCATGCTCAACATGGTGCCGGTCATCTTCGAGTTCCGCGTCAGCGAGGACACGCAGATCCTCTACGCTGGCAACAAGACGCACACGGACTTCAGCGTGGTCATCGCGGAGGAGGACGTGGAGAGCGGCGTCTACGCCGGGCCATGGATCTCCTATGTCAGCATCTTCGACCGGCTGTTCGCGCTCGCCGACTACAGGGCCGTGCTGTCCGTCGTCAACTATATCTTCTTCGGCATCTACATCGGCGAGGCTACCTTCAAGGTTAGCGATGACGAGGGGGAAAGGGTTAGCGACGAGTCAACACCTGTTTATAAAGGACACTTTCACGGCTTCCCTGGAGTGACTTTTACTTACAGGTTTGACTGTATATAATAATCACCTCATAAATAACTCTGCGTGAAAAAAGACTTCTCCATTTCATGCTACGTCCATCGTAGATCGCGTCCTTCGGAGTGATCTACTTCAAGGACCACTGGAACCAGTTTGACCTGCTCATCATACTGCTGTCGGTCGTCGACGTCGTGCTGGAGGCTGGGGTCATGGAGGAGGAGGAGGAGGATACTGGGCAGGGAGGAGGGGGAAAAGGGCCGGGTGTCACCGGCATACAGCTACTCAAGATCGCAAAGATCTTCCGCCTGCTCAGAATCTCGCGAGTGTTCCGTCTCTTCAAGGCAAGTCGCATGACTCTCTGCAGAGCTGTTCAATTGTCGTGAATTCTGTGCCGCGTACATATTTCTCGTGTCCTATCCTTACATCTAAAAACTTGTTAAAAAGTAACTGGCCTCAATGATCCTTCTTTGAAGGAAACGTTTGCCGTGGTGCCCCACTGCCTTGCAGTGGTGCCATGAAATTTCTGATTACATGGAATGTATCCTCAAAGGAGAAGTAGTACAAAGTAGAATTTTAGTAAATTTTGCAGCATCAATTAAAAAAAATCAATTGCTGTAAGTTTTTTGTACGCTGAAAGTTTTTGAAAATGCATTATATTAAAGTCCAAAAAATTCGGCCCTGTCGAGTCTGAAGCTCCCCCTCTCTCGCTCTTCTTGCAGGCTCTCATACCGAGGATCATTGATTGGCTAGATGAGAGGATCAATCGCAACCTGAGCTTCGGCTACGATGTCGGTAAGGGCTTCGTCGTTGGCGAGGAGGAAGTGTCCAAGTACATCGAGCAGATGGTGGACAACGCAAACATCGCGAAGAGTCTCAAGGAGAAGTCCGTCGAGCAGAGGTTAGAGGTCATCAAAGAGCTCGGGCTGCTGCAGAGAAGTCATCCAGGTACAGAAGAGGTGACTCGAGGAATCGAATACGCATGCCATTACTTAGTAAGCATGAGAATATGTGTGTGTGTATGTGTTTGCGTGTGTGTGCGTGCGTGTGCGTGCGTGTGTGCGTGTGAATGAATCGTGCTTATTTGTGCATAGGCAAGCACGAGTGCTCGCGTACACGGTCATGTGCATTGGGGGTACGCCTGTTTGCATGTGTTGCCGAGGGTGTGCGTGCGCGCGTGTATGCAGGGATGTGTGCGTGCGCGCGTGTATGCAGGGATGTGTGCGTACACGCGTCTGCGTGTAACTGTTGTCCGTGAACGATTCACAGGCATCGCGATATCGGTGAAGACGAGGCAGTCGATCCGCACGGTGCTGAACGTGCTGCGTGACGACATCAACGAGCAGAGGGAAGGAGGCCTGCTGGACGACCGCGAATTCGGCCTGCTCATCCACGTAAGTCCCAGCAGGCTCAAGAGTAGCAGTCAAGCGTAGAGCTCAGTAGTAAAGGTCAATGCCTTGGGTCAACATAAACTCTGCGCCAAGGATGCATCAGACGTGTTCGTCTATCTGCCGGGGCGAGACCGCATTTCAGGGTTTCAGGTCATCGTAAAAGTGGTGCTGGGGTCATTTTGATGTTGTTCCCTGTTCTATATAGCAGCGTGTTGAGTTACTGTTGAACCGTGGTTGTTAGGGGAGACAGTTCCCATGAACGATTCTCTGCTCTTCGTTTGTCGGATTCTAGATGATAGAAGAGCGCATGAAGAAGCTGATGAAGCTGCCGTCGTCGATTCCGCCGCCGGATCCACTCATGATCCTGCGTAACGTGCCGTGGCTCGCCCACGACGAGAAGTTGATCAGCTTCATCCGGGTATGGAGGCTGCGCAAGCTTGGCGATGCATCGTCGATGAGTGAACAAAATGCACTCTTTTGAGCTCAGCTGACGAAGTCAGATGCAGCTTGTAGAATCGCATGATTGTGCGTCCGTCCGTCCGTCAACAGTTGGGCACAAATCTTAACCGCTCGACGTACGGTCTTGATATTCGGGACATCGGGGGGGGGTCGCGAAAAAGACTCGAAATGTTGAATTTGGGGGTCAAGGGTCAAAGGTCAAGATGTGTCAATGGAGGGGGAATATTTCCCCCTTAACTTAAGATATAGGAGGAAATACGGAATTTCAGCACAAATCTCAACGGCTTGACCTACACTCTTAATATTTGATGTATAGTGTGATGGGGAGGAAACCCATCACCAGCGCGAAATTGGAGGTCACAGGTCAAAGGGCAGTTGGGGAAAGGTCAGATATCAAACATTTTCTGAGGACATGGTCTAACGGACCGAGTGCAAAACTTTTTTGTTTCAGCGCTGACCTACCGTTTATATCACTTTATTGAAAGGACCATGAAATGTGCTTTCCGCTGACGTGCGAAGAGTAAGTGTCTGATAACCTTTTGACCTTCAAGAGGAGGGTTAAACATGGATTTGTTGACTGTTAACAAAGGACTGAACTGCCCTTGCTATTAGAGCCCCCTCCACCCGCCCCTCCCCACCACAACCACTACGCTCACGCTCGATGCATATCCATGATAACATGTTAATATAGTGAAGTCATTAAAGCTTACACAGCTGTATCTTTATTACTGTACTACCAGTAGGTATAGCAAAGCCGTATCATAGATTTTAGATCTGTATTAAGTAGTATCCTAGATATATGCTCTGAGCCGCGAACGCGTGGCAGGAGGGCGCACTTTGCGGTTGCCAGTGAGTTTATCAGAAGAATTCCTGGCTACAGTACACGTCAGTTGAGCGCTGTCGCTCTGCGGCACTATGAGGCGACGATAGAAATCGAGTCGCAGTGTAATGCTTATCGTTGCAAAGTTTCTTCTACATTTTCCTCTGCCTGAAAGAGTGTTACTATATTTCTATTCAATATATATATATATATATACAAGAGCGTATTAAGAAGACATATAACAATAGGTATTTAGATTATTAAGTGCTTAATGTAATATTATGTGCTTTCAGTCTCGAGCAAAGCTGCAGAACTACGACTACAGGAACACACTGCTGTGCCAAGGTGACAAACCAAACGGCATCCATGTCATCGTGTCTGGGATGGTGCGAGTAAGTATAAATGATGGGGCCTCGGTCTCAGAAACACTTAAGGTATTTATCATATGTCGTCAAGAGCTGTCGTGTATTATGCTTATGTGTGAGTGTGTGCGTGCGTGTGTGCGTGAATCTGTTTGTAATCATCAATCATTAATAGTATAATGTATTAATAATCTCGTGGTCACCTCCTTATTTGCTTATTCGAAAACCGCTATCTGTACGCCGCATGCTCACTGCTGGCTGTAATCGTGTTTCCATAGATGTCTGCTAAAATAAAACTTGACACAAGCAAAGCACTGGTTCCACAACACGCCAACAGTCTGCAGCTACTATCCCAGTGCGAGCCACTGAACACTGAATTTGAAGACTACCTCACAGCGGGTAACGTACTGGGAGAGATGGGAATCATGACACTGCGACCACGGGCTGCCACCATCACCTGTGAAACGTCCGTACAGGTACAAATCACAATGCATTAGGATACTAAACAGGTATAGCTGACTTGAAATGGATACGTCCCTTGGCCCCCTTGGATATGGTTGCCAGATAGGTAAAACTCATCACGTTTGTGCATGGTTTTACATGTGCGCATGCGGAAAATGATGATTTTCATGTACTTTGTAACTAAGCATTGTCTTATTCGTCCTATTGCAGTACTGATTGGCTAGAACTGACTGTCAATCATCTGGCTGTCGAAAAGGTGGATGGGTCAATTCTGATCCGTGTGAAATCGCTAACTTGTATTTAATATTCTAATTTGGTCAGCATGCGCGGAGACACATGTGAACAGTGGCGATAGATCTATCGTCGACATCCGTAAGCGAATTGCCAACTGCGTGGCTAAGGCATCTGCCGCTCTCTCTCTCCTCTCTGCGCGTGATTGACAGACGTACTTCGTGAGTCTAGAGGATATGTTTACTGCTCTGGACACGTTCACGGAACAGCCGTCGCTCGAGTATCGACTGTGGCGAATCTGTGCCATCCGCATCGCCTTGCCAATACTGATGTCCATCGACGCATACCAGGTACAACGGGGGCTAAATATGATAAAAATTGGGATAAAGCAAGTGTTCCCATTGGTTTCCTCAGAAATTTCAAGGTGCAATGGCAAATTCACAGGCAATGAATGGGAACGTTTTCTTCACACGACAGTTACTCTCTTCAGACGGCTCTTTTTTCCTAGCTATGTATTTCCACGTTCCCACTGGTCATTTGTCCGTCCTAGCCTTATTTCTCTCCTTCATTGCTTGTAGTGCTCCCCCTCTCCCCTCGCTCCTTCCAGCAGGTCCTCTATTGCTCGATGTACTCATCACCTCTAACCGTACGCGCGTCTTGCAGGGCTTCACACAGGAGAGGGTGAAGCTGCTGCTGCAGCGGGCCTTCCTTCCTCGGCTGGACGGCGTGAAGACCCTCTCCATCAACGAGGAGATCATGGAGGAGGTGATCGTCATCCAGGGGGCGGTGCTCAACGCAAACACGCGGGAGGAGTTCATCGGGCCGTGCTACATCCCGAAGTCCGTGCACAAACTCACGCTGCAGGTGCTGCATACATACATGCATGCTCCCTCCCTCTGTCTGTCAGCATGCAGGAGCCGCACACATACGTACATGCTCCCTCCCTCTGTCTGTCAGCATGCAGGAGCCGCACACATACGTACATGCTCCCTCCCCCTGTCTGTCAGCATGCACACAGGCACTGCATACATACGGACATGCTCCCTCCCCCTGTCTGTTAGCATGCAGACAAGATAAACTAGTTGTCCCCACTGAGGAAATGTTTCAGTGTCGTGTCACTAAAATCATTGTTCCGCCTTCTTTGCAGGATCGCAAGTATATGGAAATTCAGACCAAGATCCTGGTGGTTCCCACAGCAGATTACGATTACGAGTATGACCTATTTGGCCCCGGACCTCTTTGCTTGCTTCACGCATCCCAACACCGTCTGGATACGCAGTCTAAACTCAGCCTGGCTAAAGTAGGTTTTAACGATGGTAAACACTAAACGTCTATATTTTGTACCGATGCTTCGTTTCATCATCTGCCTTCTGGGGTTAGAATTACAGCTTCACGGTGAAAAGACTGAAGTGTCACTCTGACATTGCATTGCAGAGCAAGAGTACGTTTTCAAGCATTAACTTGCTAAGAAAACGATCGTCAAAACCCTCGAAATTGGTCCTCGAGTCCGTGGAGGACGGAAAGAAGGTATAATAGAAACACTGCATGTACTTCTATTACTTTTACCTGGTGAACACCTCAGGGAAATGATGAAAACCGAAGGATAGACTGTCGCTATTCAATTGGCCAGTTAGCTCACCCATGTCATTCAACAGTCTATAATGAGGACGTTGTCTGTTAAGCTGTCTGTCAGCTGCCTGCAGTCAGTTATCTTCGATCATCATTAACTTTCATTCTATTGCTATTATGGTGAAATGCAGTGTCGCAATAGAGTCGATTTCTCACGCGCAAGTTTTTACATGTATTGTAGAAAGCAGCAGTTGAAGAATGCAGTGGCCATGCCGCAAAAGCGCCAAAAGGTCACAAATCCAGCTCACCATTAGCAGCAGCAAAGGTCAGAGTATTTACGACTAAAGAAACCTTTTTTTCGGAAGATTTTCTGCAAGTGAAAATGACAATTTCTAGTTGCTTCAGCCTAGCCGTTTGAGCACGACTTTCCCACCTATTTTGAGCACAGTCTGTTTTTTTGTCATGTAGGATAAGGTAGAGAAGACAGAAGCTGATATCACCCACGAGCAGCATGTCAAGGATGTCGGTCCAGGTTCTCCAGGAATGGAGGGAAATGATTTCACAACGACGATGTGATGTCAAGAGCGTCCGACCCTGGACTATACCAACAAAGTCGATTATCGTTGTGCAAATGACTGTAGATATAGGAAGGCAAGTTTACACTACCAGAGATTAGGAGTTACCTTTACGGCGTGCCTGAATATAGAAGGTTAAAAACTAGGTTTGTTAGATTTAGCAGTTGCTGCTAATAAAAGCTGCATAGGTTTATTGTTTATATTGAATTTACTATACTGTGGCTTTACCTAAATGTAATGACTATTTATTTTCCATTATATTTGTATTTATAAATAAAACGTTTACATTTTGTTAGATATATGTTGGCAACACAAACTTGTATATGAAATGTTACATCCTGCGAGAAATAAATTGTGCATTGTTCTCATTATACAAGATGTCATAATATTATTTATTCGTTGCAAAACACTATGAAATAGAAAAATGATCGTCAGTTCTTTTTAAATGATTGTGGCAAAACTACAGAAAGAATCAGTTTTGAATGTTAAAAAAATCTATTCACTACTACAAACTAGATAATAGAAATAATATACTAATATTAACGGCTCTAACATAATGATATTACTAAGCACCTCGAGTGTAAAATAAGCACCTAAAAGATGCTGCAATAATCGTCATCTGAGTGGCCGTGGCCACGATGACGTCACCATTTTGCATTCAAGATGGCAGCCTCCATTGCCAAGTTTTTCAGACATACAAGAATATTCCATCCAAGTAAAACAGCAAGGGTGAGAAAATAATTTCGTAAAAAACTCCAATCCTTTAAGAATAGTGTGTCATGGGCGTCAAATTTAGTTGAAATTGTAACTGAACCAGGCCGAGGCTGCAATAAAATTCTATTAGTTGCGATTGTGTACTCACTCACTGACACTGACGCAGATGGGGTCGTTGTCGTATCACATGCGTCTAAACAGAGGAACTGCTCCGACCTGTGATTGGAGGATAAAAATTGACCCCGCTCACTCCCGCCGCATACGATCCTATGACCGATGCTATGACCGGCAGTAACGTGTACTAACTATCATACGGCGCGAACGATTTCAGTTACCTTTCTATAAATTCTAGACCAATAAATTGTGCCCTAAAAATTTTTATATTCTGGTGTTTTTTTATATTTTAGGCCCTGTTTGTGCCCTAAAATAACACCAGAATATAAAAATGTTTAGGGCACAATTTATTGGTCTATATAAATTCTAGCTATTATTATTATAGAAATAATAACAGGGGGCACAATTGCCCAATTCAATTTTCTATGTTCAAGCTGTTAAGTGGGACAACATCTGTGCTTTCAAGTACACCAGATGACATTGACCATTCACTGCCTGACGATTCGTACCAGAATAGACCACTGCCACAGTACCAGGAAAGACCTAATGAACCGCACGCACAGAAAAAAGCACGTCTTCTTTACCAGAGCCGCAAGCGTGGCATGCTAGAGAACGACTTAGTCTTGAGGTTAGATGTTTTCATTGATCTAATTTTACCGTCGGAGCCGGACGAGCGTTTGTTTGCTTATAAACCAGTAATGTAGTATTGTGTTCCCACTTCTCTTGCATTTCTTTGCAGTACGTTCGCTGCCAAGTATCTAAACACGTTTGACAGCAGGCAGCTCACGATGTATGACCATCTGATCAACAAGCCAGAAAACGACTGGGACATATACAAGTGGGCAACAGGTCAGTTGATAATAAGAGACTGTGGGCAGTTCTGGTTCCCTGGCAGTTCTTTGGATATTGTTAGACAGCAATGCAACATTTTGTATGTGTATATTTCAATACAGTGATGGTTGAACGTATTCCGGCATAAGTCCTATAGCTTATAGCTAAAGCATACAATATATATACTTACAGTAGAATTTTACAACTCGTGTTAAAATTGCAGGTACTAAAGAGGCACCAGAAGAATTCAGAAATGAGATTTTGGATCTACTCATGAAACACACCCGCAACGAGGAAAAGGAATCACGTGTTCGACAGCCCAGCCTCTTTGCCAATGACGAACCAAAGTGCTCCTAGTGATGGCGCCACTGTACAATCCGCGTATCCAATCTACTGCATGAATAGTTACATAGTGTAATATTGCTTTAAGATATTGGTTCGTGTCAACACTAGCAGATAATTACGAGCTTAATAGAAATGACTGAAATTCTGTGTTGACACAAAGACTGAATAGTTGATCAGACTGTTAAGCATCCACTGTGACGGTCAGTGCATATCATATTTATTAGAAAATAAAGAATGTACAACTTACTATACACATGCTAGAACTCCACATAACACAGTTGAGTCTTTGATCTTTAAATCAACAAAGTATTAAATTGTGCACAAAAAAAATAGTTTCATCCACGTCATAAATGGAAAATACCCATTTCATACAGATAAGATCTCTGTAATACATCATTTCACCGGAAATAGGCGTAAGTATGTTATTGCACCATAGCTGGCAATTGACAAACAAATATCTGGTGAGGCAAGTCTCAATAATTTCAACATTTTACCAAAGCTACAAAAGTTGTGACTATGTAAGGTCTAGTTTTAACTTTCAGTGTTCTTCAAATAATGTGAAAAGTGTAGTGCAATAACTAGCAGTAATATGTGGAACCTAGACAGTAACAACTTTTACATAGCAACTCCCTGCCTATTAGAAGATCTACAAAGCCAGTTTTCGGTGGATTTATAACACCTTAAGTACACACCAATCTGTAATCTGTGTGCTGCAAGTAATTACAGTATCTATTTGTCAACTTCCTACCCAAATACAGACGTTAATGCCATCTATTATGCTCCAACTACATATGAATTGTAACCGATTACCAGTATAGATATTTTCTGAGTCATAGACTTAATCTATTAGCTGCGCCTCATCACATCTGTCTAGCAGACTTACAGCCAAGCATGTCACACCTACTTCATCACTGCATGTTGAAGGGCAAGATATTCTATCACACAGTGAAACAATTGCAATATATATCTGCACAAGTGTGCCACGCAATTCGTAATCGTTGTAATAAATCTTGCATGTGTATATTTTGTGAAAAACATGTAAACCGTGAAATCGTGTTAATGCTACATGAAACTTGGTTTCGTTTGATGCCAGAACAATTTTGTGCACGTCGTAACGCTCGTACGTTTAGACTCGCCACTGCAACGCGAGCGTAGATGGATGCTTCAGGATCACATCTATACAGCCGTAGCGAACCCAACCCTGTCTCTTCCCTGGTCGAACTCTGTGTAGTATTGCCCGATGAAGATGTCACCGAGGATCCAGATTGGTCCCATCGGTGGCGGAACGTCCAAACCCATGAAGCCACTCACACACATTGTCTGCCCAAAGGTTGTCACCTGCATGTACCACACGAACAAATGAATACACTAGTCAAATGAATACCCCCCTCCACCCCTCAGGCAACTGATATGGAATCATAATCTCCGAAAACATGCGACCTGTAAGATTTCCAGTTATTCCGCGATCCTGTGGGAAGTGAATTGTTTGGAAGTTACGTCACGAAAGTTCACAGCGACCTGGCGGTACAGGCATAGTGGCAAAGTGGAGTGAAAAAAAACTACGAATTACCAGATTATTGTATAAAATCTCGCCTTTTAACAATATTTTTTCAACAAAGCAACCAAAATTAGACAGTGATGACACCTATTGGAGAAGATAACAAGCTTAAAGGCAGAGTAAACGGAATTAGTCGACATGGTGACCCAGACCAGCTACTTACAGCGAGTACATAGTCCCTGCCCTTCAACATAAAGTCTTTGCCACCCAAGGTAAATGTAATGTCAGGAAGTGTTGGAATCTTCTTGCAGTCAATCATGTACTGAAACAGGGATTTTTTACACATTACACATGCTGAAACACTGGTACACGATACTCAAATTTTTTTGAGCCCACTTTTCTGACTCAACATTCTAATCTCAATAATTCCAGACCACTACTCCAATCTTATTATCTCCAGACCATCATTAAATCTCAATATTTCCAGACCATTATTCTTAACACGTTATTTCTGCAGCATTATCCCTATCATTATTTCCGACCCCATTATTCTAATCTCAATATTTCTAGCCCAATCTTATGAACAATGACCTGATGGTTCACTCTTGATTGTAACTTGTACTTGTCCATTAATGGTACAACCTACCTCTCCCGCCATTAGCGGTGTTGCCCCGATGGCTTCGTTTAGCTGCTTGATCTCTGCGGACGGCCCAGCCAGCAAGGAGGTTCCAGAGTCCGCGATCGCCTGACATCCTCCTTTACAGAACCCACCCTTGCCTCCGACCTTCACTCTACACAAGTACAGCAAGTGGATGTGAAAGTGGATGTATGAAACAGCTCTATGTAGCGCAGTAGTGCGCTGTACTATCCCTGGTAGATTCTATGCATTTGCTATTCAAGGTCATGAAACTGTAAAGTCAGCGATTCACATTTAACATTGGTGTGAATTGCTCTTGGAGATAAAACTGTAAATTAAGTTGGATAATTAGTAAGCGAAACCACAATAATATACCGGTGTAGCCAAGGTAACGTACCCATCCATTTTGATTTGCCAATATCCTTTCTTGGTGACGGGAACATAAGTGAAGTTGCCCTTGTAGTATTTGGGGTCGCTTCCTCCCAATATCAGTTCACCGCCAACACTGGCATTTGGATTCCTGAAATGGAGACAGAACCGTCATGTCAAGCACAGCTTGAAAAAATCCTACAGATTTCACATCAATATGTGATATTTCTCACTCGTCATTGCCTCTATTCCTTTAAACCTATACCCTTTAACATGAGCCCCAGCCCTTTGCTACTATGGCACAAAGCCAAACATGCTTTACCAGCAACTGAAACGTGTTCACGGTAAGTAGCTATTCTGTCTTTTGCCCAGCAGCTCTGGCAAAACTAATGTCACCGACATTAAAAAACGAATAAACAAAGCGATTCATTTACATCTTTTACACTTTATACTTTCACAGTTTCTTTCGTTTGAGAATAAACAACGATTCATTTACAATGTTGTTCACACATTTAGTTCTTATAATTTCTGGACAACTTTCTATGATACCACCCACCTTCTCTAGCCCCCACCCTCACACACACAGGGCTACAGGTCACTAGAATCACCTATTCAGGTAGAAGGAGAAGATTGGTTCAGGTACGAGTTTCTGCTGCCACATGTTGTAGAAGACCGGTGGGACACTGTCTATGGCGATCCTGCTGTAACCCAGTCCGAGGATGCCATCAAATTTTGCTGCGACAAACGTCACGCCAGGCTGTTTCGTCGCCTCAGCAAATACCTGCTGCTTGACTGTGACACTACCAAACTATACAAATATAACAATAAGAACAAATGCCTACTGTTACATTGTTAAACCATAAAAATATAACACTAAGATCAAATGCCTACTGTTTCACTGTGACACTGTTAAACTATACAAATATAACAATAATATCAATGCCTATTGTTTAACTGTGACACTGTTAATCTGTAAAAATATAACAATAAGAACAAACGCCTATTGTTTAACGCCATATTTTTCATGTTAGCTCTACTCACGTGTAGATTATCAGAACTGAGGAATCCTGAAAGGCTACCCGACCCATATTGAATCTCAAACTTGGTGCCGTTAGCCTTGTAGGTGCTGGACTTGGTACTGTCATACTTGTTGTGAAGCCCTTCGTAAAAAAACATGCAGTCAATAACAGGTGTTAGCAAGTGGAATTTGGTAGCTATATAAACCTACATCGATCACCAATTGTTACACTAGATTACAGAGTAAGGAACATTAGCTGGCATATCCACAGGGAATGACTGACAGTTAGCACTAACCAATTGTCTGTTGTGATAGGGCATTCAAAAACATTGCCTTGTAAGAAAGAACTGCAAAGTCGACATTTTTATATGAATGCATGAAAAACACCTACAAACTGATATAGCTTACCAGCCTACAGTCTTTGAGGGGCGTGGTTATCCTGTTCAGGTCAACATGCGAATTGTTCGATGAGAATGACAAAACTGGACAGATAGATCCATTCAAAATTTTCACAAACTAAGCGATCATAAGTGTTTCAACTCAGCTACAGGTGGCAGCACTTACAGCATGCAACGTCGCTCCATTTACACTTCTTCGATGGCACCCACAAGTTTGAGGATCCAGTATCAAACACAACCTTGAATGGCTGGGGTGGCGTTCCGATGCCTATCAAGCCATAGTACTGCGCCTGCCAATGATTAATCATTTATTCGTCAAGCACGTGCTAGTTGCAACTTTCGTAGGCCAACTAGGAGTGTTACGTACATCCATTTAGATTTGTGAAATGAGTGATTCAACAGGGGCGTGTACAGGGGGGGGGGGGTCCAGGAGGTCCTGACCCCTTTCTGCTCGCGCAGAAAACGCATCTAAGAGGGTCTAATTTCAAAAATTTCCAGACCCCCCCTTTGCGTGCTCGCAAGTTTGGGTTACGGTTAGATCCCCCGCTAGTACAAATCCTGTACACGCCCCTGTTCAAGGTACAGTAACTTTGACCTAAATTTTTACCTTCAGTGCTTCATAGTTACACTCTCATTAAGCTTGGTTCGAGGATGCGTGGGCTTGCCACCTCTCACTATTCTTACTCCCATTCATTGTGCCCTAACTAATTTTTACAATCATATATACAATAAAATATTAAGCTAAAAGCAGTGATGAATTTTCTTACATCTAGATAATTTGACAGCGGCTCCGGTATCGGCCCGTTCACTGACTCCTGCTTGTACTTGTTGTTGAGGGATGAGAGGAGTGCTTTGTGGGTGCCAAGCGCCTGCAGGGAACGACGCGCCGTCTGCACACGATGCAGTTTCACCCTGAAGTGACAAGCAATTAACAATAACAGCACACACAAGCATTACACCAACTAGAACTGTACATTTTACTGTACTACAAGTGCACTACAGTACACTACATTATATAGACACGAACACAAAATCTCTAACTAGTAGCCAATTCAAGCTGTAACTTTTGCTCATAGGGTCTATGTCCCCCAGGGTATACTATCGGAAGTACGGTCCGGCATATTAGATAGTACCAGGGTACGTTTCGATATATCGAACCGTACCCAGGGTACCCTCTGATAGTACCCTGGAGGACATAGCTAGACCCTCTCAGCGTAACTTTCGCTACAGTACCCTTTGGTAAGTTGGCTATACTCTATAGTAGTAGTACTACTACAAAGTAAATTACTTCAGTCTTCAGTTTACACTGTACTCTGTAGTGTACTTTCTACGACTACGAGTGTGCATTACAATATACACGATAATTGTAAGGGTAACGTCTACTGCACTACTGAGTCTATTACAATCACATAGGGCGTACCGTGCAAGTATTAAGTACAACAAAGTCAATGACACTTGTAGCTCTAGTACTATATCCCGCGTACAGTTGCCTGTACGCGGGCTATAGTACTAGAGCTATGACACTTGCAGTTATACGGTGTCAGTGAACCTGCTCAATGTGTACGCAGCAAGTTAACTGCACTGCAACGCTGTAACAATAGTCAATACCTTTGAAATGCAATTGCTGCACCAACGAAAGCGAAAAACACAACTATAGACAACGTTTTCATTGTCAGAAATTGGGAGCCACACTCCTCTGCTGTTGTCAACTGGTCTGGCTTTGCTAACCTAACTGTAAACGACTGTAACTTCTGCGAGTAAAAACAGTGTTGTCACTTCGATGAATCAGCCGGCTTTATCATCGGGTCATGTGGTCATGTGTGATGGGCACGGGTAGACTGGTACCCGGTCCCACCTCTCGGCTCCACACCACTGATCTGTACTATCGAGTAATCGAGGTGGGAGCGAGTACCAGTCTAGGGCACGGGATGTTGTTGTGTTTTCCGGTTCTTGTTTTTCTCTGCAATTTTGATGTCTCAGCGCCATCTGCATTGATTATTAAAACTATATCAACGCGACAAACCAAAATTATTTGTAGTCATTTATTTCTATACACGACGGCTGATATAAACCCTAACAGCTAATATTGTAGTATAGACGATCACATATTTTTAATGACGTCTCTTTAGCATTCAATGATTCATGTTCATTACATGCGGCAGGTTTCTTCGCCATTTATTTATATCCGTCGGTATGGAAATCAAGTTCAACGGCTGTAAAGGGATTGTATATTAACAATAATAGCGATACAAACTAACTCACTTGCTACAAACAAATTACTAACTTTTCAACGCTAATAGAATATAACTCTTCGGAAAGTAAAGGCATCGTTGGATACAAACATATTGCCACGTAGTTGTATTCCGATAATTATATATAATCCTTTGTCAAAATTCGGTTTACGAATACCCCTATCGGCCCTCTATGTGGACGACCCCGAGTATGCGCATAGTACGCGTGGCAAGCATCATGGAAACCGCTGAATCTTCGCCTATCCCTGTGTTGGCAGTAACGGTGGCTGTTGGAGCCGTTGTTCTATTAATTTCACTGATTTGTAACTTGGTTTCGAAGCAGGGAAGTAAAGAAGATAGTGGTAAGTAGTTTGATGTCTGTAGATAAATGCATGTTGGTAGTCTGTAGACAGTGACAGTGTACCCCGTATTAATTACTACTAGTACTGAGTACTAGTACTAGTACTAGTACTAGTACTAGTACTAGTACTAGTGTGTACCCCGTCTGTGTACTACAGTCTGTAGACAGTGACAGTGTACCCCGTATTAATTACTACTAGTACTAGTACTGAGTACTAGTACTAGTACTAGTAGTAGTACTACTACTATTAGTATTAATACTATTACTATTAGTATTACTAATACTAGTGGCTTTTAGCTTTAATGTTATATTATGTGGATCGGAAACCAAAATTGTACAGCAACTCCGGTTAGAAAAAATTAGCTGGCGATTTTTGTTAATTCAGTGGAGAAGGCCTGCATAACTATGTTCTACAACTACACAAGCTATGCTTTGCTTGCAGTAAAGTCGGAAGTCGTGAACGACCAGGCCGAGCTATCGAACGGCAAGCAACATGAATCCAAGAAGAGGGACAGGGTGGCAGGCAAGGGAAAGAGAGATGCAGGAAAAGACACGTTCACCCACCCATGGCTTGCGAGCTCCCTGAAAGGCCACAGCGATACCATACTTGGCATGGACCTCAGCCCCAATGATAAATACCTGGCCTCTTGTTCTGGAGGTATATGTAACAGCGTTTATTTTATTTTTCCAAGTATATGTACTGTATAGTGTGGATGTGAAATAAAAGATATTCGAATATATATATATATATATATATATAATATTTTATAGTGACTCTATTTTGCACAGGCTCCTTTACTGTACATCTGTTGATGTATGCATTCTAGATCGATCCATTCTGCTGTGGAATGTGAAAGAGTTTGAAAAGAAAGAACACAAGTCTGTGCGAGCCAATGTTGAGCTGGACCATGCAACTCAAGTTAAATTCAGCCCAGACTCTAGGTAAGTGAGCACTACCTGTGGTCATGCCCAACTACTATGACCTTTATTGAAGTCAGTATACATACTGGCCACCATTTATGTTGCTTGGTTAATGCATGTTAACATATTATCTATAAACAGTGTAGACCCAATTAATAAGCCGATACTGATGTAATGTGATGTTTTTCTTTGTAATAATGTAATTGGAAAGTGATTTTTCATTCATCAGGGCCTTTATCACGAGCATTAGCACTGGCAACACCGTTCGCATCTTCAAGATTGGGAAAAAGGCCGATGGATCGATGGGAAATATAAATGCTGACCCCGAGATGGATTTCCCGAAGGTAAACACAACAAAAGTAGTTGCTATACACATGAGAGTAAGGAGCATGAGCTACCGACTGCCAATGCCTAACTTAGCTCAGCTAAATTTCTGTAAAGGTTTTAATGTGCCTGTACCTATGGTTGATTTATTAGTAGTGATGGGAATCGGCTGGAATTTCATAATCGATTATCTGTTTCCCTTAACTGATCGATAATCGATTATAATCGGATAATCGGTTAATAATAGCATAGATTAGTTTAATCTTACATTGTATATACAATTATAAATAGCATTCAATATTATCAGTTTTATGATCATGTAGGCCTATTAACTCTGTGAAGGTTGCCGTATGTATATCAATGTCTGTTCCTATACAGTATTTAATCAATTTAAAAAGAAATGGTTTAAATGTCTTTATTAAAACATTAAAAGTTTTAACAAACATGATCAAGACATGTTCTTTATTATAGTAAGTAAATTGTTTGTGTTCTAATAGTGTAGGCTGTGTAGCCGAGTTAATGTCCTGCCAATGGAATATTCTCTGCAACATAATGTAACAAACAATACGGAGAGTACAATCTCATCTACGAATAACATCTGTGGGACAGTGTCAAACCAAACAAAGACACTGTCCAATTTGTCCATGTCTATAAGTACACTAGTACCGCTGCTGCAATCAGACAGGACCTATGTTAACAGTGATTCATGAAGGTGTCCTCTGGACTACACACTGATGCACTTCTACTTCGCTACCAATACATGTCCATGCTGGCGATTTAGTAATTAAAAAATATTGTATTTTTGATAATCGATTATTTGTTTTCATAATCGATTATCGAATTTGAGACTATAATCGATCGATTTTCGATTATAATCGATCATCGGGACATCACTATTTATTAGCGATAGTTAGTTAAGTCAGACTTTCCTCTCAAACAGAAGCACAAGGCGGAGATCACTCACATCGGCATCGCATGTACGGGAAAGTTCATCATGACTGCGTCCCTCGACACGATCATCAACATCTGGGACCTGAAGGGACAACTGCTTACGACGCTGGACACCCAGCAAGTGCAGAACTTCTACAGTGCCGTGTCACCATGCGGCCGCTTCGTTGCCACGTCTGGTCAGTGTGCAAATTTGCGTATCTGGTAGTTATGTTACCATCCCGTAACAATCGACCTATCTGTCTAACGCATTTGACAGTCAGCTGTACGCAGTCAATGTTGTGAATGTACATTCTACGAATAATTGTTAAGAACAAAGTGCCCCAAAGTCAACAGTTTTTGTGTGTACATGCATGTACCAGCATGCATGTACAAACTGGGCGTGATTCACTCAACTAGCAACGGTATCCAAGGGGGGCATGGTAATCTCACTCGGCTCAGACGAACAGGTCAGTTGTTGCGATTTATCGCAAATTGCGTGCGCACGAGCAGAGGCCTGTGCTGTGCGAAGAACGCCAACCTTGACGTCACTGTTCGCTTGTTCAGGTTTCACGCCCGACGTCAAAGTGTGGGAGGTGGTGTTTAGTAAGACTGGTGACTTCACGGAAGCACGGCAGGCGTTCCAACTGACGGGCCACACGTCGGGAGTCTATAGCTTTGCCTTCAACAATGACTCGACGCGTATGGCGTCAGTCTCAAAGGATGGAACTTGGAAGCTCTGGAATACAAATGGTATGTCAGCGCTAGATAACGCGTGTGCTTGTAACCTGGGAGGGGGAGCTCAAACAACAGTAAAGCTCGATAGTTTTTTTTTAAACAACTATGTGAGTGTTAGTTCTATTTCATTTTAACACATTCCTCTTGGATTATAACACCCAAGAATATACATTTTCACATTTTATAAATGTGATAAACATTTTATAATGTCAGTTATATATATTTATTATATTATTACTCGGATAGGTTGATACCACCATCTTTTGGTGCAGATACCTGTTAATACTTACCACACGAGGTAACAATGGAGTAAACGAGATAACAGTGCGTTTGGTCCTTGCGAACTCTCGTGGAAGTCCCGCAGTCGACTAACGACGCTACACATCTTACAGTGGAGTACAAGATGAACCAAGATGCGAAGTTGATGAAGACTGGTCAGTGTCCGGGTCCCGGCCAGAGTCGCATCGCTCTCTCACCAGATGGCAGGACCATCGCGCTCGCCACGGACCGCGATGTCTACGTCTACATCGGTGCGACCGCGCAGGAGGAGGCCAGGATGCTCAACGTACACGAAGGTGGGTGTAGTAGAAGTGTGTGTAGAAACACGCTTGCACACACGACCTTTGTCTGAGTCACGTCAAGGATTCGAGATGGTGACCCCCCCCCTCTGCTTCTGCTTCTGAAGTCACGGCACTGGCAACGATTGAAAATTGTGGAATCTACTTTTCTTTATTTTTGCAAGTGTATGAAGAGTGTATGAACCTCTGTTATCATTGACACTTGCGATGTCTATCTTCACAAGATCAATATGGTTTCTTCTCATTTGCATGTAAAATGCCTACCCTTTGAGATAACCAAGGCTGCTTGCACATAATTCTTCTACATGGGCAAATAGCTACATCCATTGCCCACCCTGTGATGTGCCCATGCCTGCTTGCACGTAATTCTTCTACGTGGGTAGGTAGCTACGTCTATTACTCGCACTCTGAGCTGACAACTGCCGCTTTTCCTGCGACTTTCAGCTCCGATCAGAGAACTGATGTTCAACCAGATGGGCAACTTCCTGATCTCGGCCGGCGGCCGGCACATGCGCGTGTTCCACAACGTCGTCGGTTACAAGGCAGCGATCACTGACCTCAGGGAGCGGGTGCGGACGGCGAAGACTGATTCCCTGAGGCAGCGGCTGCAGGAACAGGTCGCAGAGACGGAGTAAGTACTCGGCCGTAGGTCTCCGTCTCGTTTGCACAACAGTCGCCCACCCCTGGCTTTCGCGCCAGTTTTTCGTGTGAGCGTCTGCAAGGTGGACGTGGAAGGTGCGATTGATCAACTGTATAGATATCGCTCTCCCTTGCACGACAGTCACGCCGGCCCTCTGCTTTCGCGCTAATCTTTCGCACAAGCGTCTGCGAAGTGGTCGTCGAAAGTGCATCGTCCTGACAAATGGTTCGGTTACCAGTTACACTTTTTTCAAGAATGTGGAAAATTGATGTGTGAACGTCCGTGCCTGCAGTTAATCTTGCGTCTCGTCGTCATTTTCCGATCCCCGCGAATGCAAATCGAGAATGCTCGTTTTTCTCACGTGTGATTTCTTCGCTTTTGCAGGAAAAGGTTAAAGGAGATCTTGGGGCGAACAAAGTAGTTGTACGGGTGCAGTTCTCTGTTCGAGCAGGCAAGACCGGGTCAAGTGTGGCCCTCACAGGACATGCAGGCATCGAATCATGCTCGCCCGCACTTTGGGAAATATGCTCGTTGTCCGCCTGAAAGAGCTCTCTTACGTTGTGTGAGAGCTCTTATGTGTGAACTTTCTTTATCGCATGAGAATTTTATCATCGCCACTCATTTCTGTATTAATTAAGGCAATTCGAAGAGCACTATTCCAGTAAGGCCGATTTCAACAGTATCTCCTGTCGTCTGTAGTTTTAATGGTATCACGTCATCCAGGTGGTGTCCCTTGAATAAGTGACCAAGTTTCTCCAGTATAAAGCACTTGGAGGTGAAGTATTGATTACCGCATTAAGCAATCAATAACGAATTAAAGCCGCACTATGCGCATCCAAACGCTAATTTCTCCAGTACTAGACTAGCAAATACTTCGTGTCATGCATAATCACACTACCTTATGACAAAATAAACTCTAGTTGCTCCCATTTCACTGCGCGTTTGCTTAAAACTGGGAATTCTGGCGCAAACGCCGACTGTTTGCCAAACAATTTAGCCTCGAAGTGGTGAGGTGACGTCACATGTTTTTATCTTTGCTACACCCGTACCGCTGTACCGCAGCACCGCTGTGCGGTTGCTTGGCAGGGCAACGCGAAAGTGTCAACAACATCGGAGAATTTGAACCACATTGGAGGTATTTTCAAATACCTTTTATAAGACAACGCGCAGCGAAATGGGAGGAACTAGTTTATTTTGTCATAAGGTAGTGTGATTATGCATGACACGAAGTATTTGCTAGTCTAGTACTGGAGAAATTAGCGTTTGGATGCGCATAGTGCGGCTTTAAGCCATTAATGTTACCATGAAGAGTAATAAATATTCACTGGTGCTTCTGATAAGCATACAAGCATTCTGTTAACCTGGGCAGGGTTGTACTGCATTTATATAGGATATTGCAAAGTTAGGAATACCAAAGCTTTGGTCACGGCGTGCGAAATGGGAATTAATTTGTAGTAGATGTTTTTCCACTGGAATAATAAACAACATTTATTTTATTACAACATTTTCGTTTTTCGGTATTTACATAACGTTCTTCCAGTAAACAGAGATCTTCCATCGTCGTATTCTGCATTTACACGACGAGTCTTGGTTAAAATACTATCAATAAATACTATACAACAGTAGTCAACTTAATGCTACTCATTTACCATAATTTCTTCTGTGAAATGAACAACATGCACTTGCATCATCAAGTCACACTACTAGTCACTGCTTGACTAAAAACCGATTCGATGAATTTTCTGCCAGAGATGAAGGCTTAACAACCACATGATTTTAATATAAGTTACATATGTGTGTGAAGCACTCGCATACAAACAACATCTGTTTGTGAATAACCTTAATTTATCGTTTAAAATAGGCAGTGCGATCACGTTGACAACAATAAGTATCACACGATTTCGTGTGGGTGAAATGCATCTGATACGAGCCGTCTCAACAGCAGGGCTCAGCTAGTGCCTCACCACCCACCACGACGTCTCAACAGCAGGGCTCAGCTAGTGCCTCACCACCCACCACGAGGTCTCAACAGCAGGGCTCAGCTAGCGCCTCACCGCCCACCACGCCTTCTCGAGCTGCTATCGCGTCGCCCCTAACCACGTGTGCGCGACACATCGCCTGACGTACGGCCAGCGGACCTGGGGCCCACGAGACGCCATCACAATGTCGTCTCAATGCCATCTCAATACCGTCTCGATCCAACCATCTTGGCGTCTCGATCCAACCGTCTTGGCGTCTCGATCCAACCGTCTTGGCGTCTCGATCCATCCGTCTCGGCATCTCAATACCATCTCGATGCCGTCTCAACACCGTCTCAGTTGGGACTGTGGTAGACGTCGGCCGGCTGGTCAGAGAAGTACTTGAAGTCTGAGCGGTCGTCTGCCAGAGCGTCCAGTATGTCCAGCAGCAGTTCGCGACTCAGCGATCGTATGCGCGGCAGGCGCGCCACCTACGCAACACAGACGCACGCGAGTGAGTTACGCGTGTGTGAGAGGAGCGTACGTGTGTGAGGGGAGCGTACGTGTGTAAGGGGAGTACGTTAGCCTAGTTAGTACGTAGTTATACGTTATATTACACTATATAATTAATAGTAACATAAAGATGCCGATTCAGTGCCAAAGAGAGAAAAAAGCACACATTATAAATAGACAACTGAAAGAATTTACCTTTGGGAAATGTTTGACTATAATGTCCAGGGCATGTTTCTTCATGTCCATGGCTTGAATTCTATCTGCTGCTTCAAGTATCTAGAATACAGAATGTGATTTATTAGAAAAAATTACATTACTTGACCACCAGGAGATACCTGTCCCATGAGTATGTAATGGCAATGAATAACTATAATACAGAATGAGAATGAAATAATGAACACTAGTACTATAAGCGGAAGACACACCTGAACAACATTTTCGAAGGTGACGTTTCGCTCCAGGTTCTGTTTGCAGTAAGCCTGCAGCCTGTTGTTGGCAAATCCGTAGAAATACGGTGCCGAAAACAGGTAGAGAGAGTCCTCTGGTGGCATGCTGACGTCACCGTAATACAGGTAGCGGAGCAGTGAGTCAAACGACTGCCTCGAAGGAATCATCTCCCCAATGGCAATCTGCCAAAAATGAGCGGCCATCTTTGTTTGCGAGCGAAAAATGTCAAACTAGGATAATTTCTACGCACCTAGTTTTCCTCAAAGACTACTACCACACTATCTCACTAGTACTACTGTACTACTATCTCATGACAGAAACCATAAACCTATAACATATTTCATGCATGTAACAGCTTTGTTACGCCGTGCCTAGCTCTGCCAGTGTAGCCCCTTCGTTCCCGCTACAATGGGAAGTGAAGGGCGAAGGGGCTACACTGGTAGAGCTACACCACGCCCTGCTCGTCCGCTCGACACCAGCTCATTAGAATGTAGTTTGACCTACCACGACCTTGCCGTCCTCGGGCATGAACGAGCGGAACATCGCCTCAAAGTAGCTGCAGCGAGCCGCGAGGATCGCCTTGTGCGCCGGAATCGGTATCCCATCCAACATCAGCGTGATGTCGCAGAATTCCCGGCCGATGCCGCGCAGAAAATTCACCATGTCGTGCTCCAATGACATTCCTGCGAACGGCGGAAGAAAATCGTCCAGTAAAGTCTGGCTTCGTCTAGCTGAGCAGGTACAGACGCAATAAGCAAACGTCAGCAGTCGCTGCACAGAATATTTTGGCAATTATTACTACTAATCAACGGTGGATAATGATGAAAATCTTCGCCCCGGTTTGCATTGCCTTATGGCGCTTGTGTAAAACATCCGTAGCCATGACAAAACGTTATATTTAACAATCAGTGATTGACGGTAATTGCACAAATACGGCCGCGCCGCCGCTGCGCGTTCCACGACCGTGAGCCACTGCAGACATACAGACGAGCCGCGAGCCATCGTCGCTACTAATCAACGATCGACGGTAATTTCCCGCGTGCAGCCACGAGTCGGCGTTGTCGCGCGAGGGGAATCGTCGGGGGGGGGGGCGTTGCGCGGGAACCGACCTTCGTGCGCGGCCGGCACCAGCTCGAACTGTGGTTCGACGAGGGGTCGGACGGCGGGAAGCTGCTTGCGGCGGATGATGGTCACCATGATTGACTGGTCGAGTGTCTCAAACTCCTTGCTCATGATGATCTGATTGTAGTTGCTCTCCTTGACGATGAAGCGCAGGCAGTACTCCTGCGGAATCAGCGATTAGTGAGCGAGCAAAGCACAGCATCGACCAACCTGTCTGAGATCACCGTGTCTCTTCTACATATTGTTGGCAAGCTCACACAGTTGGGTACGTGAACATATCTCTCTTTCTCTCTCTCTCTCCCTCTCCCCATCTCTCTCTAGCTGACTCTCTCCCTCTCCCTCCTTCCCCTCTCTCTCCCTCCCCCTTTCCCTCTCTTCCTCTCCCTCTCGCTCTCCCTCACCCTCACCCTCACCCTCACCCTCACCCTCACCCTCACCCTCACCCACCTTTATAAAGTCGAGCTTCAGTCGGCAGGCGTTCTCAGGGGCCGACGGAGGCACGTTGCTTGCATGAAACGGTTACCGGGATCGCCTCGAGGGGGTATGGATGCACAGCCTGCCTCTAGGTCCATTTGTGACATGTGGAACTGCAGAGCGAGCCGGTACACGTCCATCATCATCAGGATCACCTTGTTGCTGCCCGGATCCAGACCTGCGACGATTTGAGCGCGATCGCGGACGCGATGCGTTCGAGAAACCCGTGAGTACGCACTGCATGACAGCCGGCGCCGTGACGATGGTGAAAGAGAGATAAAAGATAAGCAAAAAAATAAGACAATAGAAGACAGAAGAACGACAGCAGCAAAAAATAATAAGAGAAGAAAGTGGTACGCATGCATGGACAGCGCCGACCGCTGACGATGGTGAGAACCGTGAGTACGCATGCTTGACAGCCGCGCGACGCGACGATGGTGAGAGACGTGAGTACGCATGCATGACAGCGGCGACGGACTGATGGTGAGAGACGTGAGTACGCATGCATGACAGCGGCGACGTGCACGATGGTGAGAGACGGTGAGTACGCATGATGACAGCGGCGACGTCGACGATGGTGAGCAGACGTGAGTACGCATGCAGTGACGCGACGCGCGGGACGATGGTGAGAGGACGTGAGGTACGCATGCATGCAGCGGCGACGATGGTGAGAGACGTGAGTACGCATGCATGACAGCGGCGACGCTGACGATGGGTGAGAGACGCTGAGTACGCATGCATGACAGCGGGCGCCGCGGACGATGGTCGAGAGACGTGAGTACGGCATTGCATGACAGCGGCGCCGCGGACGATGTGTGAGAGACGTGAGTACGCATGCAGGACGCGACGCGACGATGAGTGAGAGACGTGAGTACGCATGCATGACAGCGGCGACGCGACGATGGTGAGAGACTGAGTACGCATGCATGACAGCGCGACCGTGACGATGGTGAGAGACGTGAGTACGGCATTGGCAATGACAGCCCGGGCGCAATGGGGGAGGCTACGGCGGGTTCGGCTTGCGTCTTGTCCGTTCGGTGGGTTTTGTGTAGGGTCTGCGCCGCGGCCCCCGGCCGCCCCCCTCGCGCCTACCCTACACTGCGGCTGTTGCCTTGCTTTTCCAGATTACCTTGAACTCGCCTCTGCCACCGGTGCGCCTGCGATTTATTTTGCCTTTGTCTTGCCATGCCCAAACATGCACTGTTCTTCTATGGCGCTGGCTCTGCCTGCACTCGGCTATGCAACTATGGCCCTAAGCTGCAATTCATAAAGCCGCCAGTAGTAGTTGCCCTCTTAATCCTCGGCTAATCCTAGCTTTATGCTATGCCAAATAACTATAATATACCGTATCTTTCCAATACTTTTTATTCAAATTACACACAGGTCATTTTAACTGATATAAACTGGTCATTTTGCCACTCCTCCCACGATCACCAGCTCAAATGCGAACACAAAAATTTCCAATTGGCTCATGTCTGATGCTTCCCCCGCATTAGCGAAAAACAGGCGTGTGCCGAGAAGGGCGCTCGTCTGTGTTGCGATGCGCGGCGTGCAAAGCACACCTATGTGAAATTTTTGAGCTCGCGCCATTTCTGTTCATTGTTTGGGCCGGCGGGCGTCTGCACCTGCCCGCCTGGTTGATTACCGAGTACGTGGAAATAATATGGAATGCCCCGAAGCAAGACGTGATGTTGTCGGAGACGCCTACTTAGGATGCGTCTTGGCTTGCCCCTCGAACGCGGATACTCGGATGCCTCGGTGTGTGAGCTGTGCACGTTTGCACACAAAGCACACGCACACGTACGCACACACGCTTATTCTTCATTGTACCGGCCTGTATTGATGAAAGTGGGGCAGCTATACAACACACAACTAGCGTAGCGGACAGCCTAGGACTGCCACGCATGTTTTTTTTTTACACTTGTGCGTGATGCTCTAGGACAGTTATTCAGCGAGTAGCTCAGCAATAATCCTTGATGCCACAGTGTTACGACCTGAGTGCAGGGGCCGCTACAGTTGTAGTTATATGAATATAAGATATTATTATATTGCTCTTTGAT